AGTGCAGAGTGCTTAGAACAGGCTTGGCACAAAGGAAGAGGCACAAAGCACCTGCTTGGTTAATCACATTGTAACCGCTAACATTTATTAGTCACTTCACCTCCTGACAGAGCCAGCTTATCGCCCTTGTCCAGAGGAGGCAGCTGAGACCTCAGAGAGGCAAATGGCTTGTTTGAGTCCATCTGGCTTGCAGATCTCAAAATGAGGGAGGCGTGGGTGGCTGGATCCGGCTGGCGATCAAGAGAGCGCGGGAGCAATGCAGCGAGGAACACCGTCTGGCCTGAGCTAGAAGAGATGGGACCCGGGGGAATGAGGGAGGAAAGAAGCTGCCTGAAGAGAAGGGCAACAGAACTAGAAGGGGAAGCCTGGTAATTAGGTGGCCCAAAAAGGAAAGATCAATATTTTACTGCCAGGGAAACAACCAGTTTCCCTGGCAGCCTGCCGCGCGGCCCAGCTGTGTGTGCCTCAGCGACGGCAGCTGCCGGCGCAGTTCCCGCCAGGCCCTGTGCGCACGTGGCTCCTGGCCCGCAGGGCGTGGGTCGGGGTGGGGGCAGGGAGCGGCCCAGCCATGCGCGGTGTCTGCGCCGCCAGGTAGGCCCTGGGCACCTGTGGCTTCTCTTCACCCAAAGCCCACGTGCAGGTGGTTATTTGCTGAACCCGTCGTGTGACCTTGAGCAGGCCCTCCTCTCCCTGGGACTTGGCCTCCCTGTCTATAAAATGAAGGGCTGGGCGCTCCAGCAAAAGGCTATCTCGTGTCCAGGAAGGTCGAGGCTCTGGGTGATCAGGGTGAGGGGTTCCAACCATAGAGGCGGAGCTCCTTCGATACCCAGGGGACGGGAATTGAAACAACACCGTGGTGCACAGCCCAGTAAGAGCCTACCTCCGCGGGAGGGCAGTAGAGAGCAGGGCCCGAGGGAGAGTTACCACTGCGGGGACTTTCCAAATGTCTAACCTCCTGAGGCTCAGTCTCCTCCCCTGTAAAATGGGGACTCTTGTAGTAGCTGTTACTGTTAAGATTGCTGTGAGGGTTAGACGAGACTAACTACGGCCAGAGTTAGCACCGCACTGTGGCCCACGGCAAGCTCTCCGTAAACCCAGCAAGGATTATTAATACTTCCTTATATAAGCAACACTACTGTTTATTTAAAAAATCATCGAGATTACAGTTATGGTACTTATTGATATGATATAATTGGTGTTTATTGTTACAATTTTACAGTGATCCTGCCTGTTTTCCGGAGTCATACAGCAGTTGACACAGCACGTGTGCACCCACTACTCTGTGAAGCACCCTGAGGTTGTTGCTTGAGCCACAGCTCAGGGTGTTCCCGGGACTGGCAGTGGCCCTCAGGACCCCATGTATCTGCTGTCATCAAACACCCTGCCCCTCAGGCTGGCTCATGGGGATGGACAGCCTGGCCCTCCCAGTGTCTCCAGCCCCAGCAAGTAACTGACACTCAGGGATTACGGACCCTAATCCACAGCCTGCTGCCTCTCGGGTGGATGTGAGGTCAGGGCTCCTCCTCAGCTACTCAGGACTTGACTTGCACCAGAGATAACTCATGCATGGCCTTCGCCCTTGGAGAGGATTGTAGGGATGAGCACCAGGTGCCCAGCTCATCCCTGCATTCCCAGACTCCCCACAATGCTGGTGATGGAAGGACAGGAGGAGAGGAGACGGGACATAGCTGGGGTGCGGCGTGGGCTCTCCAAGGCCTATAGGTGGCTCCTGGCCATTGCTCTTCTCAGAAGCCACGCCATTGCCTGGTGATATGAGAGTCTGCTTGGTTGGGGGGGACAGGGCGCAGCTGCAATGCTAGGGAGGCTCCAGTGGGGCGGGGCAGGAGCTGGGGCAAAGCCACCCTGCTCCTTCAAGGGAATTCCTCTGCCGGAGACCAGGTTCAGGGGGTCACGACTCCCCCACACTCACACTCAAGTGGACAAACAGGGTCAGTGGGAACAGAGGTATAAGCGTTGAGCCACCAAGCTCAGGGAGGGAGGAAAGGTGTGTGTGTGAGTTCTCTCCTGCTCACCGATCATCTTCTAACCCCCACTGGGCACACCCTCATGATGCCAGGCCACCAGCAGTGACCTGCTGTGCAGCTGCTATGCAGGAAGTAGCCTGTGTGCATGCAAGAAACCTGGTCCTTATGAATAGATGAATCCCCGCAGAGCATGTAGTGGGGGTGTAGGCCGGAGCATGTCTGCCACAACAGCGTTAACAGGAACAACAGTGACAGGAATCCCTTTACTACATGCTGTGCACTGCAGTTTCCAAACTGCCTTTATATCTATCACCTGCTACCCAGCCCAAGGAGAGTCTGGGAGACAGCTCTTCCTGCCTGGCTGTGCTCTAGGTACTGACAGAAGTTATGGTGGTGGGGAGGGGGGAGTGCCTGACACGTGTGTGTGTGTGTATTTGTGGGTGCATGAGTGTGTGTGTGTCCATGTGACCATGTGTGTGGTTAGCCCGCAGCCCCAGCATAGTGCCCGGCATGTAGGAGGAGCCCAGTCGTTGCTTGTTGGACGAATGGGTGAATGAATGCATGAGTGAACGCTTTTGTGTGTGCTGCGGACAGGCTCCCACTAAGTTACAGGTTGATTTAGAAGCGGGCTTCTAGAAAAAATATCAAAGCTCAATTTCAGGCACTGAAAACCATAGGCGGGGAAATGGCTCCAATTGATTAACAAAGATAGTTCTGACAAAATGTACCACTGACAAAAACCAAGAAAAAACACCCGAGCTTGCAAGTTGCTCTGAATGAAGACATAAGACATTTTTACAGAGAACAATTTTGCAACTGCTACCAAAAGTTTTAAAAATTTAGATGTTTTAGAGGTTCCGTTATATTCATTTATTCAACATTTATGCAACTTCTCCTATGTGCCAGTCATGGTACAAGCTACTAGGTACACAGTGGTGATTAAAACATACATGGCCCTGGCTGGTGTGGCTCAGTGGATTGAGGGCCAGCCTGCAGACCAAAAGGTTGCCAGTTCGGTTCCGAGTCAGGGCGCATGGCTGGGTTGTGGGCCAGGTCCCCATTTGGGGGTGTGGGAGAGGCAACTGGCGATCTATCACTGTCTCTCTTGCACATTGACGTTTCTCTCCCTCTCTTTCTCTCTCCCTTCCCCTCTTTCTAAAAATGAATAAATAAAATCTTAAAAAATAAAGTAAAATAAAACACACGTGATCCTTGCCCTCAAGGGACTTATTTTCTAGAGGGGAAGATATAATTAATAAAATTATCACATAAGCATATAATTACACATTGCAACAAGTGGTTTGAAGGGAACTGTAGGGTACTGTTGGGTTGGCCAAAGAGCGTGTTTACTTTTTTCTGAACAGCCAGTCTAGTAGTACTTAGTTGTCTTTAACTTCATTCGAAACAATTTTGTTAGATTGTATTGTGACAGCTGTCCTATCAGTGTGCATTAAAAAAAAAAAAACCTTACCAAATCGGTGAGTTTTTTGCAGCCATTTTAATATTGAAGATGGAAGAAGATATGCAACATTTTCAGTGTATTATGCCTTATTATTTCGAGAAAGGTAAAAATGCAAATGAAACACAGAAAAAGATTTGTGCAGTGTATGGAGAAGGTGCTGTGACTGATCAAACATGTCAAAAACAGTTTGTGAAGTTTGGTACTATTGACATTTTGGCCAAATAATTCTTTGCTGTGGGGCTGTCTTATGCACTGAAAGGTGTTTAGCAGCACCCCTGGCCTCTACCCACTAGATGCCAATAGCAGGAGATAGACAACATATTCAAAATAACCAAATCAATAAAGTTATTGGTGAAAATGAAAAGTTTCTTTTATTTTATGGAAAAAAACATAGGAACTTTTTGGCCAACCCGGTGCATGATTGGGGTCGTAACAGGATGGGCCTAATTAAGTGGAAGTGGTCAGGAAGGTTTGTCTCGGGGAAAAACATTTAATAGGGGCACAAATGGAGACCTGAAGGGTGACTAGATGACCAATGGGGAGGATAAGCTTTTGAAATGCACAGAACAGCACGGGCAAAGGCCTTGAGGCAGAGGAAAGTTTGGTTTGCTTGCGGAGTTGACCGTTGACCAAGAGCCAGTGTGGCTGGAACGCAGGGAGTGACAGAAAGAGCGGGAGGAGAGAGGGCTGGGCGGCCACGTTGCAGAGCTGGATCTGCCCTAACTGCAGTGGACGTCACTAGAAGACTTCAAGTGGATGACGGGAGCCAGCTGGAGCGGGGAGCGAGCTGGACGGGCTGACAGTGGAAGGGGGTCGACGGGCGGGGAGGTGCGCGCGGTCAGGAGGGAGAGGGTGGCGGCGGGGGCCAGCAGGGGTCCTGGGGCAGGGTGGGAAGGGAGGCAGCGTGGCGCACAGTCCCTGGGTGTGGGTGGGATGATGGGAAGCGGTGTGAGGCAGCAGGCCCAGCGGTGCTGACACAATTACCGGACATGATTATTTCTTGCTTGCCGACAAAGGGGGATTTGACCAAGGATTTCTCAGAACTACAAATATACATTTTTTTAAGTGGTTAAAACTAGGTGTTGAACAGTTAAGTGGGAAATGGCTGGGTTTTGAATGACCCTCTTTTCTAGAGCTTCCGCAGTGAGTTTCTATTGTTTTTGTATGAAAGAAACCATGAAGTTGAAAAGTCAGAGCATTTGCTTTCCGTGTGCCAGTGTTTGTGGGAGGGCCTTGGAGACAGGCCCCCGCCGCCCCCTAACAAACCGACAAACCCCCAAGCTGAGCGCGGCTGCCTACTGGTGTCGCTTTCCCTCACTCATGCTGTCTGTCCTTTCAGGAGACTGGAGCGGCCCCATGGCCGTCTGGGGCGGGGCTGACCCCAGGTGGAGGGGGACAGAGGGCTGGGAGGGGACCGCGGCAGCCCCTCGGCCCACATCAGGCGCCCTCCCTGCATCCCAGCCTCCTGGCCAGCCGGCCAGCCTCGCCCCTCTGGGGAGCCTCTGGGGAGCCTCTGGGGGTGCCTCACACCTGTCACTTCTTTCTTCCCACAGGTGGAAAAACTTGTGAAATATTTGGATCCCAACGACCTGGGCAGGATCAACTTCAAGGACTTTTGCCGGGGAGTGTTCGCCATGAAAGGTGACGTGTCCCAGGGGAGAGGGTCCTAGGGGCTCCCAGGCCCCTGCCAGCTGGTTTTAACTCAGATCCCGCCCAGTGGGGGCCTCAGGAGACCAGGATGGTTCCAGAAGTGGGTTCTTCCCCTGGCTCCCTATGAGGGCCAAGGGTCTTGGGCTCCTAACCATGGAGGGGCTGCGGGTGTCTCAGACCCTCTGCTGTGGAGTCCCACGCCCAGAGCCAGGCATGCCTGGACTGGCCAGCCAGTAGTTCTGTCCTTCCCATTGTCTGTCCCCGTCAGGGAAGGACCCCTCCTTTTCCTCTTTTCTCCTTCTGGGTGACCAAACTCCTGAGGAGTTTCCCAGCACATGGGGCTTCTGGGCAACGCTGGATGGAGCCGTCATCCCATCTCCCTTCGTCCCTCCTGAGCTTCCTTCATGTGTTCCCTACACCCCCTCTTTCCCTAAACCGTCCCCCAGTTCTTCCTTTCTTCCCTGCCCCTCCCTTTTAATGGGACAACATAAAATCCCCCCTCTTTTTCCCCTAATTCAAAGGCCAGTGGTGAGAGACCCTGGAAATAGGGTCTCAGAACATGACAACTCTCACAACGGGTGCTACTGCGAGAGGAAGCAGCTGACGTTGCCTGCAGGCGGACTTGCGGAGGCCGCCCCCCTGGCTGTGGAGAGAACACAGTTACTTGTAGGAGCCCTGAGGCCTTCCTGTCACCCACAAAGGAGGCCTCGTTTCCCTGTCTGTGTGGGTCACATCAGGATGAGTCCCCCTCTGTGGGTGACCCTGAGTCCTGGGAGCGGGGAAGGAAGCAGGAGTTCCTGCCCTAGAGGAGAGGGGCAATGGGAGGCGAGCAGAGACATCGAGGGGGCTGTGCACAGCAGGCCCCCACTAACTGCACCCGTCCTGTGCCCATGCTAGGCACTTTGCCGGTTTGACCTCCTTTGTGTGATTGGATTTGGGGACATTTTCTCAGGGACTGAGGAGGAAGGTCACCTGTGTAGCTGAGTCAGCAGGAGGGAGAGCCATGCTGAGGGTGGCCCTCTCTGAGATGTCTAGAGGGTGCAGGGCTGCAGAGGGCCTCAGCCTCAGGGCAATGAGTGTGTTTGGAGGTCCTGCGAGCCAGGCAGGGAGTATTGACTTCCATCCCCTCCTCCGGGAAGGCCTCCTTGATTCCCATTGCTCCCAGCTTGCCCTCCGCATTTGGGAGTCTCCCCTCTGTGTGCTTCCTGTTGGGGTTAGTCCCAGCGGATGCACATCCGGAGGGTAAGGACCTGTCTCCGCTCCCTCCGCAGAGCCCTGGCCTGTCTTCTCCACAGCCCAGGTGTTCCCTCTCCATCTTGGAGTGGTCACCAGGCCTCCTGGAGGCTCAGGCTGTCTGCCTGCCTGTAGCCCTGAAGCAAAGTTGCCGAGCCGGGCTGAGGCTCTGACCCTCCACTGTCTGTCTGTCTGTCTGCCTGTCTGCAGGGTGTGAGGAGCTGCTGAAGGACGTGCTGTCCATGGAGAGTGTGGGGACGCTGCCCTGCGCCCCGGAGATCCCAGACTGTGTGGAGCAGGTAGGAGCGGCGGCCCCAGGCCCCGCCTCGCGCGGAGGGGCGGCGGCACCGCTCGCGGCCCACCTTGCCCCTCTTGGTCTTCTGGCCTTGGCTTCGCCTTTTTGGTGTCTGGGGGCCCCAGAGCCTCCTTTGAGGATCATTTGGCTTCAAAGTCGAGAAACAATTTTTGGAGCCAGAGTAGTGAAGCGCGCTGGGAAGCCACAGCAGAGAATGCAGGGGCTGGGGGTCCTCACGGAGCACCTCCACTGTCCCTCTGTGATACCAAGGAGGAACAGCCCAGAGAGGGAAGTGACAAGCTCACGGTTAACAGCGGACAAGACAACATTTTTTTCTTTTCTCCTGTGCCATAGCCTCCTGAGCCCACAGGTCCCTGTATGTTGTCTTTTTCCCCCCAGACAATAACCACCAGTTAATTCTTTGACACAACTGTTGTGTCCAGCAATTCAATTTGATGCTGACGCTAACTACCCGGAGTTCGTACAGACCTAGGTCCAGAACTCAGTCCCACGAGACCGCCGCACGCGGGGCAGCCACAGACGGGCCCCCCGGCTACCTGTACCTCTGCTGTCTGACTGCAAATGCAGGGTTCCCGCGACCCTCCTTGAGTTCACTAGAAAAACCCACAGAACTCAGGAAAATATGGTGTTTACTATTAAATGAGCTCAAAAAGTGTCAGGAGACTTTGGCTAGAAATAAATGATAAAGATTTTTTTCAAGGGTCTCTAGGGTTTGCAAACTGGAAATACTACTAGGCAATACTCAGAAGTGTTCTGAAGAAGAAAACAGAATGCTGAGAGTTCTTAGAGTAAAAGTTGCATTCTCGAGAAGAATTAGTCCTGCATTCTTGGCCTCTGGCGTGTTCCGAGATGACGATCCTCCACGTGGACTAGGTAAGGGATGTCAGGTGCTCTGGATATGTGAACATTCTTTCCTTAGTCCTTCGGGGGATAATCAGAGAGTTATCTGAAAGGTCTGACGTATATCCAGGCATTGAAGCAGGGCTGGAAAGTTCAAAAGTTTACGTTCCCAGGCTAGTTCAAACAAGAATAGAATCGTTTCATCGTATCTCAATCCACTTGATTTTTGTAATTTAGCAACTTGACTAAAGTGACTCCATTTTATTTCTTCACTCTTTTCCTCGTTGTCATTACGGATTTATTATAAAGGACAGAGCCTGGGAGCAGGTTTGCATGGCGCTGGGTGCGGGCAGGGCAGGGCGGGCTGGTGTGGGGGCGGGGGGCTGGCCTCCTGCCGGCACTCCTGCCGCGGCCCCAGCACAGCAGGGTGCCCGCCCACCTGACCGCTCTCTGAATCTTGGGTCTTCTTGTGCAAGAGTTTTTATAACCCAGTCTCCAGCAAGACAGCTGGCCTGTTTTTAAAGCAATATTGTTTTTCCAGAATACAAAATCTGGAGATTATAGAAAAGCAAAAGTCATGTCAGTTGAATTTCAGCAACCCCATTATTCCCCTCATTTCCTCTCTCTCAGGACGTTGCATGTGTATAGCTTTTCCCTTCTTTAGGTAAGAGCCCATCCCGAGTGGACTCTTTCCTGCCCTCTGGGTAGGTCTGGCCCTTACAGGTGGCCAGAGCCCAGCAAGATGGCAATTGCTCACCAGACACAGCGGGCGGCCTTGTTCGTGAGCGCCTGGTAGGGCAGCTTGGTTGGCCTGGGCTCTGTTCCTCACCATGGGGCTCCTGTGTGCTGGCAGGGACATGAGGGGGCACAGTTCAAAGGTCAGCCTGCTGGGCCGGCAGGTGCCTGTGGTGATGGATCCTGAACGCCTGGAGGCCCCAGGCCCCAGGATGTGAATGGATCCCCTTCCTGCCTCAGATTCCTGTAATGTTTGGCTCTGGGCTCCATTTGGCTAAAGGCCAGGAGGGGTGAGACCACAGCTATTCAGGTGTGGGTAGCAGAGGCAGCCAGCCTGGGACAGGTCCTAAGTCCCTGCTGTGCCCGGCCATGTCCCAGCTGTCCCCCAGCTGTCCCCTAGGGGTCAGCTTAAGACTGCTGAGATCACTGCTTTGGCTTCCCAGGTGCCACTAGGGGACAAAACTGCGCAGAGTTGTTTGGGGACTGTGCAAGGATGGCACGTGATGGGACAACAGTAGCATACCCACGGCCCCTCCTGCCCTCAGGGCGGGACAGGGGATCTCTGACGTCACTCACCACTGGATAAGGGTCGTAGGTAAGACAGTGAAATGCTTTAGTGTTGGCTGGTGGGAGACAGTTGCAGACCAGGCAGCCAGAGGGCACCGCTTCTCACAGCACATCCCACACCCCGGAACTGGTAGCGCCCATCTGCTTCTCGTTTTGATTTGTTGTGCTGTGTTTTGTTTAATCCTCACCAGAGGACATGCTTATGGATTTTAGAGAGAGGAGAAGGGAGGGAGAGAAAGGGGGAGAGAAACAACGATGTGAAAGAGAACCGTTGATTGGTTGCCTCTTGCACATGCTCTGACCTGAGACTGAACCCGCCACCTAGGCATGTGCCCTGACTGGGAATCAAACCTGCAATCTTTTGGTTTACAGAACAATGCCCAACCAACCTGCTTTTCATTTTTTGAAAAGCCTTTGTTCCCTCTTGCCTCGGAGACTTTGAACAAGTTGTCCTTCTCCTGGGTTGTCCTCTATGCACTGTTTCGGGGCTAACTTCAGCTCATTTAAGACTTACATAGGCACCTCCTCCTCCAGGAAGCCTCCCCTGGTTCCCTCTGCCCCAGCCTGCCTTCCAGCCTGGAGGAGGAGCTGCGCTGAGCTTCTGTGGCACCCAGTGCCCCGTATCACTGCCTTAGCCATACCTTCCAGGATGGCTCCTCATTCCCTGTGCAGTGACACCCTTTCACCCCATGATGGCAGGGCTCCGCACACCAAGCATATGGCCCGTAGTGAACATCTTTACCCATGCTCCATGAGCATTTCGCTTAAGTGTTTCAGGAGTAGAAATTTAGACATGGACTTGTATTAAATGGTATGCAGATTTTACTTTTTAAAAAATATTGTTTTAATAAATGTGGCCAACATTTCCTTCCAAAAAGATGGAACCAATTCATATGATCTAATAGTTCATGACAGTGCTCATTTCCTCACCCCTTCACCAACCCTAGAAGTTCTGTATCCGCCTATATGTCCCCCCTCCTGCCTTCTCCTCTCCCTTCTCCTGCTCACCATTCTCATGGGGGAAACTCATTCTCTCTTTCATTTGTGCTGCTGTTTACTAGAGAAGTAGGTGTTTCCTATGTTCCTGGTCCCTTTGAAGTTCTTCTGTGACTTGCCTATTTGGAGTCTTTGCCCATTTTCCACTGAGGTGTTTTTTGTTTGTTTATTTATTTTTTAATCCTCACCTGAGGATATTTTTATTGATTTTAGAGAGAGAGGAAGAGAGAGAGGCTCAGAGACACAATGACTTGAGAAATATCGATCAGTTGCCTCTTGTATGTGCCCCAACTGGGCATTGAACCTGAAACCTTCTGGTGTCCGGGACAATGCTTCAACCAAACGGAGCCACTCAGCCCAGGGCTCTCTTTTTCTTAATGATTTATACGAAACTATTTATGTCATTCTTTCTTTATTTTGCTCGGATTTGAATCTTGGTTTTAGTGTCTTATTGAACAGAATTTTAAAATTCTGAAGTAATCATTATCAATCTTTTTCTGTCATTTACATTTTATGTATTACTTTGTGCCTTCTCTACTTCAAGGCTGTACACTTATTCTCCTATGTATATTTTTTTAAGTGCTTTTAGACAAAAGGTGTTTATGCTGAGCTCTTTGATCCACCTGGGGCATACTTTTTGTTTTGGTGAGCATACTTGCTGGCATTGTTATTTTCCACATGTTGCCGGCTGTTCAAGTTCCTACTGTGGAATAGTCCCTCTTTCCCCACTCATTTGAAATTTTACCCCTTATTCGTATGCTAATCTCCTTAGAAACATGGGTCTCTTTCTGGACTCTGGTATGTTATATTGATCTATTTCTCAACCGACTTCTAATTCCAAACCACGGTTTCAGTTACTCTTGCTTTATAATTTGGTATCTGATAGAGAAAGCCTTCTTCATCATATTTTATTTAATTTTTTTTGTTGTTATTCCTACATATTTTCTCTTCCAGAATAGTCTTTTTGGTCAAATTCAATTAAAAATCCTGCCAGAGATTTTGTTCAAAATTTGTACATCAGTGGAAGGACATTGGTTTCTTTATAATAAATATTGAGTACTCTCATCAAGGAACACAGTGTATCTCTTTATTTATTCTGGCCTTCGTTTATGCCCTTCAGGAAAGTCTTATGATTTTCTCAAACAGGTTATACACATATCTTTTTTTTTTTTTTTAGCAAAGTGGTTTTTTTAATTATTGATTGGGGGGGTACCGATTTGTCATTCGCTTCCTTATGCATTCATTACTTGATTCTTGTATGTGGGGCAATGCTCTAACCAACTGAGGGACCTGGCCAGGGCATCAGATAGGTTCTGCACATTTCTTCGTACGGCGACTGTATTTTTTAGAGTTGCCATTGCTGTTATGTGTGGGATTTTTTGCTGTGATATTTTCTAATGGCTTATGGCTCAGTGTATAGGACAAATTTTCATTTTTGGTGTTGATCTTGCCATGACAACCTTACTAACTCCCTTATTAGTTCTAATGGTTCATTCATGAACTATTTTCCAACTCACTTAATCTATATAACAAAGTAGCTGTATTATTTTTCTGCATAAATTTAAATGGCTATGTAATATTTCATCACATGAAGACAAATTTTCTTTGCCAGTTCCTTATTGTTGGGCGTATCCATTTTTTAACCTACTTTTGGCTATTAACAAAACAGTGTAATACTTATAGCTAAATCATTCTCCACAGCAGCAATCATTGCTTTAGAATAAGTCAGAGGTTGGCAAATTACAGCTTCATGGGCTAAATCTAGTAGCCTGTTTTTGTAAATAAAGTTTTATTAGAACACAGCCACACACCTTTGCTCACCTCTTGACCGCGGCTGCAGCCACA